GCCGGGTGCAGACTTGCCGAGCCTGTGTGCGCAGGCGACGCAGCCGGGTGCAGACTTGCCGAGCCTGTGTGCGCAGGCGACGCAGCCGGGTGCAGGCTTGCCGAGCGTGCGCGCGCAGGCGACGCAGCTGGGCCCACAGACAGCGCAGCAGGCTGCATCCTCTACAATCCATACAATGTAACACCTAAAGACCCTTAACAGTCATCTTAAGAATGAATAAAAATAGCCAACTGCATGGGTGAGTGTGGTCGTTCAGATGTTGCCGTGTGTGGAATGAAGAGGCCAGTTCCTTCAGTGTTGCCTGCCTGTGCCAGGCAATCGTCTCCCGTTGGGAGAAACGGCAAGTGGTCTCTGCCAGTGGGCTGAACTTGGGCCCACTTTAGGGAGTGTACTGTGATAACCGTCGAGCTTGTTTGTCAAGCGAAGGAATGCAGAAATAGTGAGGAAACAGGCCCAAAGCAAGGCCTGGCCTTCTCTGCTGCCCGGTGTTTATGTCTGGGTCCCACAGCTGATCCGTGGGAAGAGCAGAGTGTTGACAGTCTGGCTGCTGCAGCCTCGCTGTGCTCAGGGCCACCTCGGTGTCCCGCTCCAGTGCTCAGCAGCGAGTGCGAATGGAGATAGCGCTAGTGCAGATGTTTCCTTTCAGAGATGACATTTTTGTTTTGAATCCTCCCTTTTCACTTCGTTTTTTTTTCCCTTTCAGCTGGTGTCCTCTGTTATTATTATCGCTGTACATGCTGACCCAGGTCTTTGACTTGCACAGAGCAGCAGGCCGGACTGAGACTGGCCTGCTGCTCTGTGCAAGTCAAAGACCTGGGTCAGCACGTACAGAGAGAATTTTATCATGTAATCTACAAATATACCACTTAAGTCCAGCAAAGTCAGGATGTTCAAATCCTCAACTTTTAAAGCCTTTGAATAAAAAAAAAATCAATAAAATAATTATTACAGCAGCTAAATGAAAAGTTAAGTTAGAACAGAAAGCAGTAGATGTTGGCGGCACTCCAGGAACTGAGGAGTGGCCTGTAGTTCAGAATCCAGAACAGATGTGCTCCGAGAGGTTTTAAGGAGTGTTAGTAACTGGGTGTGCGCACTGCGAGCATGCTCAGGGCAGGGCTTTGCTTTCCTATCTGGTGCAGTTTGGAAGAGCCTGTTACTTTTCTTTTCAGCAGCTGTTAATCGCCTTGTTTCACAACAATCCTTGTACCAGCCAGAGGGGCCTGAGAGCAGTGAGGCCTGTGCCTGTCCTCCCTCTCACATGCTTGGCAGAGCCATTGGCCATTTTACACACTTCATTACAGGGCGTGTTGAGAGATGTGAAGCCTCCAGTTTCAAGCAGCAGTCCAGACATGCAGAGTTATCTGGAGGAAGTGAAAAATAAAACTTAATTTGCTTCTCAGCTATTATTTAGCAGTGAATATACCACACTGTACAGAGTGAACCTGTAGTTAGTGGCCTTATTATGTTTCATTGATCACAAACATCCTCTCAACAAATAGCTAAATGTGTTTGATAGTGACTTTTCTACATTCTGTTCTACCTAACGGGAACAGCAGATTTGTATCCTAGTAAGGTCTGCTTACCCTCCTGTTTGAGAACATGAGCACCAAATCCCATGCACGACTGAGCGACACAAGCCAGTTTATTGGGTTTGTCAGTGAAAGGGTTAATGATCCCAGAATCCCTTTGACAGCATGACTAGGCAGTCGGTATCTCTCTGGTTCTTACTCCTGGGCACTGAATTGCACTCATTCTCCAGGGATGCTGCAGTTGAACCTGCAGTGAAGACCACACTTTCAGTGAAGCGTACCTACAGTACACACCTGCTCACATTCCAGGTTTGGCAGCAGGAGTGCACAAGTGCAGTAATCCAGCGAAAGATCTGCTCTTGGCTGGAACGCTGTTTGCACAAGAGGAAGCTCAGGGGCAGGCTGGGCTCTGTTTACCTTCACTGTTGACACAGGTCCTTACTAGGTGCTTATATTGCCGTCATTCTGATAAGAACAGCAGCAACCCCCTCTCTCTCTGGGAGTTATTTCCTTTAGTAGTTCTATCTCTTGTACAAGCGGAACACAGTCACCACAGTTCATCTTTGCATTAAACTTCCTGTTCTTGAACTGATGTACTTGGTTTCTTTTACATCACTTCTTTTAAAGACAAATCCCTTTTCTCAACTTCTGGTTTCAACTTCCTGTGACGCATTTGCGTTTCAATACCCAGCTCGCGTGTGCACACTGGGGTGTGTGAGTGGGTGCAGACGTATTGTTACATTCGTAAGGATCAAACTGCTTACCAGAACCAGAACTGTTTGTTTGTTTCGCAGCTACACTGCCTGATTTTAATTCCGTAGGATGCAGAGCAGTAAATAAGCCTAGAGAGCGAGTTTCTGGAGAGGCCTCGCAAGTTTAATGATCCAGACATCGGTGCAAGTCACTCGCAATAAAAGGGTCTGTCAGCGAGGCAGTGACAGATCCAGGAAGGCTGGAGGAGAAGTGTTTGCGAAACCGAGCCAGGCAAGGGTTCACTCAAAACATTGACCTGGACTTGAAAGCCGAGACTCCTAAAATAACCCTCACCTGGCTGGCAGGCTCAATTCACAGGGGGCACCTTGCCGTTATTGTGCAGTCGTGCCCGACACCGGCGTTGGCAGTCGCTCACCCAACCCCCCCCCTCCTGCTGTGTGTTAAGCAAACATGCCTTTGTTCAGGTCCGGTCTGCGGCTTGATCATGTTTGTCCTTCTCCCTCGTTGTCGCTGACTGTGCTGTTCTTGTTCCTCCTCCCGCCTGTGCGCAGAGAAGGGAGACTTCCTGGCGTTGGACCTGGGGGGGACCAATTTCCGCGTGCTGTACGTGAAAGTGTCCGACAACGGGAAGCAGAAGGTGGAGATGAAGAACCAGATCTACGCCATCCCTGAGGACCTGATGAGAGGCAGTGGGACAGCGGTGAGAGAGGGGCGGAGGGGAGGTTAATGCTGCCCCCTGGTGGCCAGATGGGGACACGGCAGTGGAAGGGATCTGTCGGGAGACCTGAGCTCGGTTTTGAGGGGAGGGGCAGAGAGGCCATTCTTGAGAGGGCTGCCCAGCTCGAGGCTCTGATTGCAGCCTGGCCAGTGTGGAAGCTCGTCTTTGGCAGAAGCCAAGCATTTCCATCTTAGCGGAGCACCCCCGTATTTTGTGGGGTGTACTTTCTGAGATTGGGTAAAGAGGAGAGACGGAGTTAAGAGACATTGAAGGGCGTGGACATGGGTGGAGGTGGGAGGAGAGAATAGGAGCGAGGTGGGAAAGATTCGGAGAGGAAGAAGGTCCTTTGGAAACGTTCTGTATCCTGGGTGGGAAGTGAATCCGGATCAGCGGGACTTAAGCACACAGGCCAGGATAGCTGGTCCCCCACTCATGACCGCAGGTGTGTGGGTCTGGGTAACGTTTGATACTGGGAGGGAACAAATCAACCCGACATCAGTGTCCATCTTATCAGAACCGCACTTCCACATCTCCTCCACCAGCTGTTTGACCACATCGCTGAGTGTCTGTCCAACTTCCTGGACAAGCTGGGCATGAAGGACAAGAAGCTGCCCCTGGGATTCACCTTCTCCTTCCCCTGCCAGCAGACCAAGCTGGACGAGGTGAGCTGGCCTGAGCTCAGCAGGGCCCTGTAGCTCAGAGCTGTGCAATATAAAAAAGAGCTTTGCTTTTAAAAATCCGTCTAAATCCTGCAATTTTTTTTAGTTCCCTTAACTTATGGGAATCTGCAAGTGTCTTTTTGCATTTTATCAAATGGGCATTACCCAAAGACTGTTCACAAGTCTCCATAAATAGTTTCCTATTCCCTGGGAGTCTCAGCAGTTCCCTATTGGTCTTGTTGACAGAATTCCTGTGTCAGGTGTGATTTTCTGATCTCGCTTGTGGTGCAGATCTTCACATTTCTCTAGAGCAGTGAAACAGAGAGGGGTTCACCAGTGATATAACAGCACAGTAGTTTTTCCATGCTGTCTGTCCCTCTTTGTGGCATCTTAGTTTTATACTGAAGTTGAGGCAGAACTTGATAGTTCAGACAAAGGGCCACAAACCCCCCTGTGACCTCCTGTCCTGTCTGTCCGCACACAGAGCATCCTGGTGACGTGGACGAAGGGCTTCAAGTCGAGTGGGGTGGAGGGCAAGGATGTGGTCGCCCTGCTGAGGAAGGCCATCAAGAAGAGAGGGGTGAGTCTTGGCTCGGGGTGCAGCTGGGCATAGCTGGGCGGTGACCGGAGAGGGGGGCACAGAGCCAGGAGGGGGGGGCGAGGGGCGAGTCGTTGCTCTCGCCCTACGCCGCGGTCAGCACAGCCGGGCACTGACGGGTCAACGTGGTCTTGCAGGACTTCGACATCGATATCGTGGCCGTGGTGAACGACACCGTGGGCACCATGATGACCTGTGGCTATGACGACCACAACTGCGAGATCGGGCTGATTGTGGGTGAGTCCTGGAGAACCTAAGAATTCGTTTTCTCCTGTCCTGGGAGCCCAGTCCGAGCACACAGTCCGCGCCTGACAGGATCGGCTTGGTGCTTTACAGCGACAGCACATCTGTGTCCCAGTGAGAGGTTTTGCTCACCTTCCTGTTCAAGAGCAGGAGCTGTTGTCTGTTGTCTGTGACCGTTACCCAAGAGCCTGTCGTAGACGCAGGGCGAGAAACGGACCGTTCCTGTGTGGTTTCCAGTCACACCTCCTCGAGACCTCAGCTGGGGGGAAGGGGAAGAAGCATGTAGGGAGCAGGGTTCAGAGTGAAGCCGCTTTTCCACGTTTCCTTGCGGAACCTATTTCACACTATGTCTCCATAGGGTCCATGGCAGACTGCCAGAGTCAGAGCGCTGTAGTGACTAGAACCTGCCACTAGAGGCCGCCACAGCGGCTTCAAAGGCCGGGTGAAGTGTAGTTTCACCAGAGCAAACAGGCTCACACGTCTGCACTAATGGTAGATAGTCATGGCTTGCAATGTGCTTTTTCACATGGGGTTAGCAAGTGAGATCTGTGTACATAAGGGTGTTGTCTTCAGGCTTCATTATGCTGTTTAAAAATAATATACATGATGCAGTAAGACATAAATGTCTACAGAACATGTTGGATAACAGGGTGTAAGTGGTTTAAAAGGCAAAAAAGGAGTCATATCTCCCACTGTGACTAAATTTCATCTTTTGAGACTACTTTAATTTTGCGCATACCAACCCCCCAAAAAACTGCCCATGGGCAGTGCCTGGAACAAAAGGCTCCTCCATCATCTGGCAAGAGCAGATGTAGGTGAGCTGCCCCGGAAGATCGGGCAGCCTGGGCTGGGTCAAGGCTGGTGAAGGGCCTCTCATGGTCCAGAGCCGACTGTGAAGGCGGAGCGAGGCTGCAGAAACACTCCGAGACCCGTCTGTGTGCCAACCCGGCTTGATTCATGCCATCTCCTGCCCCCCTCCCCCCAGGCACGGGCACCAACGTGTGCTACATGGAGGAGATGCGGCACATGGACCTGGTGGAGGGCGACGAGGGGCGCATGTGCGTGAACATGGAGTGGGGCGCCTTCGGGGACGACGGGACGCTGGATGACGTGCGCACCGACTTCGACCGCGAGATCGACATGGGCTCGCTGAACCCCGGGAAGCAGCTGTGAGGCGCCACTCTCGCTCTCTCGACTCGGCTTTGCGGGCGCGGGTTCGACTCTGCCCTGCCAGTGCGGGCATGGGCCTTGAGTCGGGCTGAATGCATGCTTGCGGCCGTCCAATCAGTTTTCCCTCATGCCCTGGCACTTTGCTGACTGTATGAGCCTTTTGAAGTGACTTCTTTAGGTATTACACTGAATTTGCCTAACGATCATGTATCATCTGCTGCACCTCTAGCCTCTTGTGTGCACGTTCTGGAATCTATCCTTATACTGTAACATGTCGTTTTTTTAAGCTTACTGTGAAGCACTTTGAGATGCTACTTTTAAAGAGGCTACTTAGACGCCATTCAATATTGGACATTTTTTTAATCCATTTCTTCTGCTTTGCTGACTAAACTTACGTCATATTGTAATCATGACAAGTATGCATCTGCGGCTGTGCCCCAGGTTCGAGAAGATGATCAGTGGCATGTACATGGGCGAGCTGGTGCGCCTGATCCTGGTGCAGATGGCCAAGGAGGACCTGCTGTTCGAGGGCAGGATCACCCCCGACCTGCTGACGACGGGCCACTTCGAGACGGGCTTCGTCTCCGCCATCGAGAAGTAAGTGGGGGCCGTGGGGGGATCGGGGGGGGGGATCCGGGGGGTCCGCTGTGTGCTGGCCCGGAAGACGCACGAGCGCTCACCCTCTCTACCCCTGCGCAGCGACAAGGAGGGGCTGGAGCGTGCCCAGGAGGTCCTGACCCGCCTGGGCCTCTCCCCCTCGGAGGAGGACTGCGTGGCGACCCAGCGGATCTGCCAGATCGTGTCGACGCGCGCCGCCCACCTGTGCGCCGCCACGCTGGCCGCCGTGCTGCGGCAGATCCGCGACAACAAGGGCGTGGAGCGGCTGAGGACCACGGTGGGCGTGGACGGCTCTGTGTACAAGAAGCACCCGCAGTGAGGCTCGCTCGCCGGCTCCCACTCCCACTCTCTCCTCCCGTCCTCCTCCTGTCCCTCACCGCCTCCCCTCTCCTCCTGTCCCTCACCGCCTCCTCTCTCCAGCCCTCACTGCTCCCTCTCTCCTCCCATCCTCCTCCCGTCCCTCGCCGCCTCCCCTCTCCTCCCGTCCCTCGCCGCCTCCTCTCTCCAGCCCTCACTGCTCCCTCTCTCCTCCAGTCCCTCATCGCCTCCTCTCTCCAGCCCACCTGCTGCCCCTCTCCTCCCGTCCCTCACCGCCTCCTCTCTCCAGCCCTCTTGCTCCCCCTCTCCTCCCGTCCCTCACCGCCTCCTCTCTCCAGCCCTCCTGCTCCTCCTCTGCTCCCGTCCCTCACCGCCTCCTCTCTCCAGCCCTCACTGCTCCCCCTCTCCTCCTGTCCCTCACCGCCTCCTCTCTCCAGTCCTCCTGCTCCTCCTCTGCTCCCGTCCCTCCCCGCCTCCTCTCTCCAGCCCTCCTGCTCCTCCTCTCCTCCCGTCCGTCACCGCCTCCTCTCTCCAGCCCTCACTGCTCCCCCTCTCCTCCTGTCCCTCACCGCCTCCTCTCTCCAGCCCTCACTGCCTCCTCCCTGCTCCCGTCCCTCACTGCCGCCTCCTCTCTCCAGCCCTCACTGCTCCCCCTCTCC